GGCACTTTAGCACGCGTTTTTCAACATTTGGGCCACGAGGGGGTGGGCGACCGCCCCCCCTCTGGTCTAAATTAAGCAACAAAATACGTTTTTTGTCCATTGGAACGACCGAGAATCACTTTCTGATCTGACCCATCAGTAGGACGTGTCACTGCACTCCAAATCTCACTTGAAAATAAATCAGTTGACCCTTCCTATGTCCCGCTCCTTTTCTCTCTGTGCTCCAACAACAGTTGAGTGAGATTGGTAGACAAAATTGTCCTTAGATATGCTATGTCCAAGGCTTGTGTATCTGAAAAAGACAACCAATCAAAAAGTCCCATCTTTAGTTAGCTAACGATAGCAATTCATTAGCTAACTGGATAACTAATGATTGATGTAAATTAGCTAGCTATTTAACTACCGTTTTGTTAACATTAGTTAGCTAACTTAAAATGTAAAAATGGGGTCTTTTCAACATAGACGAGGCTAGCACATATCTAACTACTGGAAAGGAGAAAGTTGACTGAGGTTCTGCCCAAGGTTTGCTCAACAAGTGTATGTATGTGTATATGTTTAGATGTTGCTATTAACTGTAATTTGTGTTGCTCCAAGACTTAGTTTATCAAAATGAAAAGAAAGAGAAAAGATCTTTGGTAAATGTTACATGAACTGCCCAAGAATGGTCTTAAAATTGCCGATATAAACATCTGTAGTATCAGAAATAAATTAACTGAAGTAGCAGACGCATTTAGAGTCTACATTTGAGGATACATCACTGATGATACATGGATATATAATATATTTAGAAAAGACAGGAATGCAGGTGGAGGAGGGGTTGCTTTCTATGTTCAGAGTCATATGTCTGTTACAGTTAGGCAGGATTTAATGTCTTTAGATATTGAAGTACTCTAGCGGAATCTAAACCCGATATTAATAGGTTGTTGTTACAGACCCGAGACCCCCAAGTGCTAACAGTTGGTATTTAGACAAAATATGTGACATGTTGGATCATCTCTAGCACAAGTCATGAAATATGATTTGGGACACTTAAACATAGACTGGAATTATTTTTGTTGTTTGTTGAAAATGAAATCAATGTGTGCATCTGCAGCTTGTGGATTATTACTGGTCATTAATAGACTGACAAGAATATGTTTAAAGAGTGATGGCATGCAAGTAGCTACTTGTATTGATCATCTTTTTACACCGAGCTACTTGTATGCTTGTCAAAAAAGGTGTTGACTGACAGTTGGAAACAGGAAATGAACAGCAGTCTCCCGTGTTGAAGTCATTTTCTTTAGGCACAAACTAACCCCATGTCGGCTTGGTGTTATTAAATAATAAATAATATATATTTTCTATTCTATTATTTGGCTCATTCAGTGCAACTCTCTATACATTTCCCACTCTTTGTCTGCTGTCACCTAGATTTCCATTAAATATTGAGGTCATTTTAACTTTCATACAAATACACAGCATACTTCATCAGACGGCTAATAGAGTGCTTAGTCCTTGGAGGTACAAAGTTTAACAAAGTTTAATATAAAGTAGGCATGCCTGCAGTTTTAACAAATATTTGCCAACACATTTCAAAATGCTGTCTCTTTCTTCTGCTCTATGTGCCCACTATGTGATCTTTAGAGGGAAAGACAGGTCTAAACTGCTGCTGCTGCTGCTCCTTCTAATCTGTTCATTAATCCATATTCACGTTGCATGAAATGAGTTGGAGATGAAGAATGTTTTGGAAAGCATTACACTTAGTAACCAGTAACCACCAGAGGATCTACCAATAACCACACAGACGGCATTTTAATCACAGCCAAGCTGGCATCACATCAGTGTTAGTGGATTGTTGGATTTCTCTTGTGAATGTAAGGATCAATGCTTAATCCCTCACTGCTTCCATTCAGGAGCAGAATGCAACACACACACACACACACAGTGATAAATACAGTACATACTTCAAGCAGTAAAGCTGTGCTGATAAATGAGAGTTAGAGATCTAACACAACATACATAGCTAAAGCATTAAAGGGAGAGAACCATATCAGATAATTTAAGGTCACCAAGTTGATCAGATCTGAGTTACATGACATTTATTTGGCTGACGCTTTAATCCAAAGTGACGTACAATAAGTGCATTCATCCATGATCAACCAAAAATCATTTGAGTACATCAACTTCATTAGAAAAGCCAAAGTGCTTCAAGTGCTACATTTAGTAACAATACGAGAGAGATAAAGTCTTTTTCTTTTTTTTATTGGCCAAATTGCTGCCCTGATGTTGATTGAGTACCTCCTATGATTATTGATATGATGATTATGATTATTATATTTTTAGCAACTTTTTATACAATGCTTTGTCTGTATTATATATAAATATATATACTTTTTAATAATCATACATATTTAATTGGCTTCCTGACAATTGTAGTGTTTTCTTCTCACTGATGCTTGGCCATTGTTCTATTAGCTCTTTGGTTGTTTTAACTGCATACTTTTCTAATGCAGGATGAGGTGTTCATAGGTCTTAAATAATAATCTAAACTTAAAATAATAATATTTTTACATTTTCTTACACGCCTTAAAATCAATAAGACCTTGCAACCCTGTGTTAAGCTTTCCCGAACCCCAGGTTGAAAACCAGTGTGTTAAGATTATCACTGTATCAGTGATAAGAAATTCTGTCCATGACTGAATGAATTAAAACAAACAATGGTGTCCAAAGCAGTCTGACCTTTCATCTGTTTCACACTTGCCAGCCCGCAGCACCAACATTATTCCTCTTTGTTTCACTATGTTTACAGTTGTATCCTGAAGCTTTGTGCTCCCATTGGCCAAAGTCAAGGAATGTGTCATGGAATTTGCCATACCAGGCAAAAACACAAACAAAAAAACATCCGAGTTGTGGTGTAAGTTCTAGTACACTATGAATTAATACACAGTACAAAACAATGAATTGTCGACACCCATTTTAGTTCCCAACGCCTGACGATACATGTAGTCTTATAAGAGGACAGTTGGTATATGAACATTCTACTGTCTTTATTACTTGTTATTTTTGTTTGTATTACTTTATAACCACTTCTATAAAGCAAAAAGAAGATTGAATACTCCTGATTTGTTTCTTGACTTTTAGACTTAGGTGAGAGACATTTTACAGTAGGTTTAACATATCAATTATAGAAGTGAGAAGTAGCATGCAGAACATCAAGGCTTTCTTGTTTTAATGTGCAGATTAAATTTCCTCAATGCAGCAAATCTGATGAAGATTGTTTTGCATCAAAACATCTGTTAATTTTCACTTAAGTTAAGAAATAGGTAACCTGTGAGCTACGATTCCATCTTATCAGCACAATCCTGCAACCTCAGAAGCAGGACAATGTCAGAAGGAATTTGCTTATAAAAATCTGGGCAGCCTTTTAAGTATAAACTGCAGCAGCAGTACAAGTTGAAAATCATTCAGTATTTTATCAAACACGTTATTGTGAACTACAGCTGAGCAGCTGCAGTTACATAAACAAGGTCAGTGTCAGTTACTGCGACTTCAGTGTCTGTAAATCCCATTTAGTTTTTTAGACAATTTCAGGAAAATGTAGGGAATTAAAGCAAATGGACTATTCATGTTCTCCACTGGGTACTCTCACTGACTTTGACACTGTAGTAGACAGTAATAATAGTTCAGATATTACTGTGCTAGTGCTAGCTCACAGGACAAGGTATTAGTGTGCTAATTAAAATAAATATGTCATAGTGTAAACCTCACAAAATAATACTTTACTTAGTGCACTGCTGCAGCTTGGTTCATAGTAAGATAACTTTAATAGCTTGTAAGGGTTAATAATTTGTGTGTTAATGTTTTTACTGATTTTTTTCACAATAAACATAATACACAAGTAGCACCTGCACTCATGAGCAGGGGCGCTTCCAGAGGGGGGGCTCTGGCCAAAAAACATGTCATGTTAGCATGTCGGGAAGGAGTAAAAACTCTGAATTCTATGGGTACCCACATTTCTCCTCTTTGCAGACATGTCCACTTTATGCTAATCCAAAGCAGCTTTGGGCAAAAACCATGCAGTTTGCACATGGTATAAAAGTGGTATAAAAAGTTTCACCTAGTATATTTGAATATTTCTGCATACTGGGATCCATAAACTGTATTGGAATTGCATGAATTGGGAATAACGGAAAGCTGAGACGCATACTTAAGACCACCCCTGCATAATTCAGTGCCCCTCTTGCCTTATACGCAGTTTAGGATAGGGTTATGTTAAAATGAATTATGTTTTAGCTAGAATTTGTTTAAAAAAAAATACTTACTGTACTTCATTTTTGAAAAGGTGACAGGATTAAATTTGACTAATTGATGAGCTCTGCTTTAGATCTGCATTCCTTTACCACATTATGTACTTTATTCTCATCCATTAAATTGACATTTTTGATAATTGCAAATTGCAGTCTGGTTTTGTGTTTTTATTGCAATTCTTGCTTGTGTGACTTACAAGTTTCACTTTACATATTCTACTCCTGCTGTGAACCTACAGTATATGAATATACACTATTCACTAATTCACAGAATACATCACTGAAAACTCTGAATGTGTTAAGTCACTGGGTGAAGCGAGGTGAGGGTGATGATGAAGTACAGGAGACAGACGTCAGTACCTGGACACGACGAGCGGGAGAATCAACATCTTCAACATCCTCATCAGCAGCTCTCCAGGAAACTGGAAGTACTTCACTTCCTGTCAGGAAGAGAGAAGAGAAGATGATGACAGATATTCTAAATAAGACCAATAGACAGATAATGAAACAGAACTAGAGTTTATTAAAAAAAAATAATGAAGAGGAACGAGTCATTGTCAAGAGTTCTGGTGCACATCGACCTTAAGATAATGAAAACTACTCAGTTCCAATCAGAACAGGCTTTTTCCCTTCATCTTTTGGTCATTATACAGACACATGTTTTAGTTATTTGCTGGATTTGTCTTGTGAATGTAAGGATCAGTGCTTAAAGGATAGGTTCATATATTTTCAAGTGTGTCTTAAAACAATCCTTACATGCCCATTTGTACATTGAATGTCCACGCCTAAAGCAACAACTAGACAACTCAAATGGGTATCTTCCAACTTTACTAGCACTCAGGGGTGGGCAGTAACTTGATACAAGTAATGAAAATGAGTAAAAGGTTTTTTTTAGAAACTCTCTGTTTCTCCAGCTTTTTTAAAACAGTATGTTTTATTTGGGCCAATAATCTACTATGGCTACATTTGCCATTTATACCTTCATTAAAACTGATTCGTTATCTACTATGCATTTTGCTACATTACCTAAATGAGCTGTCATCCAAGCTGTGTGAGGTTATGCAGAAGAGCTTTATCAGGTCTCTCTTGCAGTGAGTACAAAGGGACCATTTCAACTAAAGGTTTGGTTGTTTTACTTTTGTAACTTAAATCCATTAACTGCACACTATGCCACTGGAGGCCATGTTGGAAAAAAGCCTGCACCGACCTATGTGAACAGGGTACTCAACTCTAGTGAAGCACCGATGCAGACGCATGTGAGTCGTGCTGACTCTAACCGCTCTAATTTGTTACCATAGATGCCAAAATAAAAATCAAGATGTTCCACCATGCACATGTGTGTAATATTCACTCTCGTCCCTGAAGGAAACGTCTGGCTCTAGTTGCTGAATGCTCCGCTATATATACCAGCTAGTCGCTGACATGGTCAGCTATTTGGTGCTGGGCAGGTAGCAATGGTGATGGTTGATAATGATTGATAAAAATGCTATTTGGGGATCATAAAACCAAAACCAAGTAGCAAAAATGTCTAATAAGCTCTGTGGAGCTGAAGGGAACTGCAGAGTCGTGTGATAATTCTCTCTGGTTTGTCACTACGAGTGAGTTCTTACAGTTTTAAAATAAGAATACTTATTAGCTTCACTGTTTGCATGTAAATAGATAGTTTCCCATTATTGCTTTATATTACAGTGACAGAATGTAAACACTGTTACTTCATACAATATAACACAATACAACTTGATAATGTACAACATGTCCATGTAGTGGAGCTATCAACAGGTGAAATCCGACTGTTAACTATTAACTGTTTTGTAATATTTAATTAAGCATTTATTTATTTTGTTGCTGTTTTGTTTTGAATAATATGGCTTAAATTGTTTGATAACAACATTAGTATTTAGTTAATTTAAGTACTTGTTAAGGCTTTTGTTTTAAAGGTACTGGGCAGCTTGGGTACACCAGGTGAATCTACAGATATGGACAGGCAGGTATAGGACTGGCAGGCAGTGGGAAGGGTTAATGGGGTTTTACCAGGGCAAGAGAGGCTGCAAGCCCCATTGTTCTTTATCTGTTTGCTTGTTGAAATAGTAAAATTGACCTATTTTCCCTGTGTAAGATTGGTGTAGTGCACATTAAGTCATTTTCTTGTTTTAACTCCTGTTCAAATGCACATACTGCCCTGTAGCTTTGTAGGCACAGCTGCCGGTTTTTGATATTTAAGTGTGTGGTTGAGTTGCTTAAAAAACTTTTATAGAATAAAACAGTCCCAGTACAGCTCCACCTGCAAAGTCTCTGAAATATTGTGTTAGAGAGCTTTACCCTGAATAATATGCAAATCCAAGAATGCAAAGCACAAAATCAACTATTACTGTGTGACATATAGTGTTGATTAGTTGACGACTCAATAGGCTGTGTGCTGTGCCAGACTTGCATAGGTGCAGGCAAACTTGTAGCAAAGTGTTTTGGCAAGTGCTAATTTGTACTTGCCAGAGGAGGTAGAAGAAGGTTATAGATCAAGACAGGTAAATCTTGGAGAGCAGCCATAAAATATCACAGGCAAAACTCCAGTGACATGTTTCCAAAGCCCAAGAGTTTGGCAGACGTCTGCAGATTTCACAGGATTTTTGTGTATTTGTTTCAATGTCCACTGGGCTTAAACTGGCGTCCATCCAGCAGCAGCAGTGGACAGCTGTTCTCTATCAGCTGTTCAATTCCCTGCAACCAGAGACCTCCTATCTCCACTCTGTCAAACAGAGAGTTTGACAAAGCCTCTTTCCTCCCAAGGTGCCTCTGTGATAGCAGTGTGGTTTAGGTTATCAGTGTTTGATCATCCTTTAGTTGTTCTTCACACTCGTTTCAACAGTTCATGGTGAGAAGAAGATTAGGTTGATAGTTTACATACTGAGTTACTACAAATTGTGTGTGTACTATTCTAACAAGGTATGAATGGTAATACTGTGAATGGATTAGTGTGTCTGCCCTCTATTGATGAAGATTGAGATATGGGTGTTATGATACCTTCATTAACAATGACTAAAAGGTCCAAATCTTTTCTTTACCAATTTGAGCATTGCGATTCAGGTGTTATTTGGGAATTTTCAATAGCATGAATGGCAGTTAAAAAAAATCATCACGATTCTTCAGTTAATAAGTGAGGGACAGAAGCACAGAAAGACTTCCTATTTAATCCTTTGGTGTCTTTATACACTCAGCTGCAGCTTTTTGTGACCATGAAACATTACTTAGTGACATAATGGGCACACATTACGTTCATTGTGCAGCATCTGTGCACCATGATTGAACAGGGACATGAGATTGAACATTGAAGTTCATCAGTGCACTAGTTGTCATTGCCCTCTTATCACATTTGTGATTGCATGACCTAGCTCTGACTGCGCTGGATAATTGCAACTTCTGTGAGAAACGTGATGACCCTCAAATGATCAGCTTTTGCCATACAATATCTGCATTCTTGATTAATATTTTTATGGTTTATGGCTTTTGCACCCATAATCCACCCTGACCACCTCCTTACAACTTCTTTGCAGTAAAAACGCTCTTTCTTCATTAAAAGAATGTTGCATTAATTGAATCCATGGAGCAATTACATTTTCCATATTTATTTCCATATTTGGCAAATATTTTTTTTATTTTATTTAAAAACAATAAATGAACATTCAAAAACTATCAAAACAATTTGAATAAAAATACTTTAACTATGAGGTCACTGAAATGTCATTTAAAGTAATTCCTGTAATATTTTGTACCAATGATGGTAAGCAAAAATGTGATGGCAAGATAGTAAGCGGAGGTAAAATTAGCGGTTCAATAATACTGCAGTCGTGGCTCCAAACTGTACAACTATTAGGAATAGCAGTGTGGACCAGGAGAACCCCTTTTCCACCAAATGAACTTCTGTTCCATTCAACAACAGTCAACAATAAATAATCTTCTTATTAGGAATAAAGCTGCCTCCCGTGTAAACTGTCTGTAGTTGAATAGGGTTGGCCTACTCTACTGTACTTTAACATCAGTCACAATGGCGGGACTTGGAGAGCCTGATATTTTCTGATCTGGTACGCATTGTAAAAAGTTTGAGAAACACTGGATTAGACATAACTGTATATACACCGATCAGCCATAACATTGTGAGCACTGACAGGTGAAGTGAATAACACTGATTATCTGGTTATCATGGCACCTGTCAGTGGGTGGGATATATTAGGCAGCAAGTAAACATTTT